GTTTTTTTTTTTATAACTTTTCCATTTATTCTTTTGTAAGATTGTTAATGTTTATACTTTTTTTGCATTTTTATTATTAAAAAAACAAACAAAAGCACCCTGCATTTGATTTGTAAAGAGCTTATCTATGCCTTGTATTAGCAATTAGATTTCTGCATCATTTTAAGGAAGACAAATGGTAAAGTTAAATGCATACTTACTTTAAAACTCACACTTGTGAAAGTAGGAAAAGATACAATTTTCACATCTTTTCTTATAGGCAGCATAGAAAAAAAAAAGACAATCTTGCAACCCCCCCCCTCTTTAAAAAAAAAAGTGTATGCATTATCTTGTTATCTTACACTATGACAAAATAAACAGGCATAATTGTAAAAATTGCTGTAATCCTTTGGGGGTATACCGATGCAAGTGCAAAGGGAGTTAAATATATTTTTACTGTTTTACCTTCTACATTATTCTAATTCTTTTCATCAAATTTTGTGATTTGCTCACCTCTGATATACTGAGCATTCAGGAAGAGCACTCACTTACCCATTCAGCTTTCTACTTCTTGGACTGCTTCCATGTTAATTGAACAGAAGTAATGATACTGATTTATTGGTCGGTGTGGGCTGGTGGTGGAGAGATGACATAGGAAACTGCATGCTGAACCAAGAAGTAAGTGTTTTACCTACCTTACTGGCCAGTATATAAATGAGTTATGAACGCTTTGACTGAAAGACAGTAAACATATGTATTCAAAGTGTGCATTACACTGTGTTCTGAGGTTACACTTTAAACTCCTTTCAACTTGCTACACACATATCTTGCTTTATAAATGGAAAATTGAAACAACACTTGAGGTAGAGTCTAATGGATTAGCCTTGGTTGATATTTATTTTATATTTTGCTTAAAATATGTGTTTGTGTCATTTATGTAATTTGATTTGTGTGTCCATGTATTTCGTGTAATCAAAATGAGTTTTCTGGCACTGTATAATGTTGTGAGGTATTTTGATGTGTTCATGTATGACATAGTAAAGTGGGTAACAAATAGACAGCATTATTGTGTTTTATGTTTGAACAGAATGTCATTAGACAATGAATATCGGATACCAAAACAATTATCAAGAAGCAGATATACAGTGCATTTCACTATTATTCCTTTACCAATGTTTTACAGCTAAGAGAAACACATTATGCATTTTAAGCAATGAAACAAGTTATTTATAGACATCATCAACTGAAATAATAAAATAAGAAGGATGTCGCCAAGTGACAGCTCCTGCAGTAGATAGTAAAAGGGTGATGTCAAACATGTCTAATGCATTAAACTGCAGCATTGTCTTCCACCCCAAGGACAGTGCAGAGGGCTAGATGCATTAGTCTGATTATAAGGGAAAAGCTGAATTAACTCTACCAGCAGCTGCTTCCTTCTGCTAGTCTGAAAACTACTGTATTGGGCAGTGTCTAATTTTTTCTTTTGTAATTTTGACAGTTACTGTTATTTACTCTTTTTTGAATAAAATCAAACATTAATACCTTTTTTGAAGTACTACACAAGAGACGGCATATACAATGTACATAAAAAATACTGAATAACTTGTGCAATAAACAAAGTTTCCTCTAAGTGATTCAGTAGCGCAAAATATCATAAAACATAAGTGTAAAGGTGAAGACTCATACAAGGGAACAAAGTCCAAGAAAAGTCCTTCTTTATCCCAAAATAATTCAGATTCTCCAAATAAAGTCACCACGTGTGCAAATAATATAGTGTCCCCCTCTCGGGTGTGCATTCACCACATGAACATGCCTCCCATTCTCATGGTTGGCTAAATCGCTTAAATGATGTTATCCACAAGACGTTCAACTTTCATACTTGATGACAATCGCCTCCTCCAATTCACCACAATCTCCCTTATTCCAAGGTATTCCAATGGCTTAGCACTGACAGATAGGTAATTGGTGTAAAGGAACCAATGATGGTATACAGCCAACTTCCTTCCTCCTATGTGAACGTCTCTCAGATGGTCATGCAAAAGACAAAACACAAAAGAACCCCAATGGTGCAGTACAAAACAACTCCTTTATTGCCTCAAATAGACAGCCACTTACAAGATAAAATTGATAATCAAGCCCAATGATGTTACAGATAAAGAACCAGATAACTGGACTAGGAAATCAATGCAGTGCTCTCACCACTGCCCAGTTCCACAAAATGGTGTTGCCTGCATCACTTCCGGTTCCGATCACGTCACTTCCTGGTTGCCACACAGTCCCGCCCTGACGCGCTTTATCATATCCGACTTACTCATAGGGGTGACTGTGCGGTGCGGCACTCCATCTTTATACCCCCTTCCATCCCGACGTCACTGCCATTGATAGGCCGATGGTAATCCTCACAAGCTCCCACCCGATGGTTGGTTCCACCCATAACCTGGAGGAACACTACCTCCATCTAAGCTGGATAAAAGGGCATAGCAAATGATTTAGCCAACCATGAGAATGGGAGGCATGTTCATGTGGTGAGTGCACACCCGAGAGGGGGACACTATATTATTTGCATACGTGGTGACTTTATTTGGAGAATCTGAATTATTTTGGGATAAAGAAGGACTTTTCTTGGACTTTTTTCACTTGTATGAGTCTTCACCTTTATACTTATATTTATGATATTTTGTGCTACTGAATCACTTAGAGGAAACTTTGTTTATACTGATTTATTAGAAGTGGCAGCAATAGAATATTATTTATTAATTTAACACGTACTTTAGCGCAGTTTTTTGGTTTTCTTTAACTCGTAAGGATAGCTTTTCATGTGGAAATGTCCTTAAAAATATAAATGAAACATCAAAAAACTATGAGGGCAACATGCAAAAGCATTTAGCAAATTTACAAGGTGAAAATGTGCATTTATAGATGCTAAACAATGCAAAAAAGCATACATTGCTCATTGTGGGAAACTGCTATTACCCCTGCCCCAAGCCCCATGCTCTCTCAAATGCCAGAGCCCATGGAAGGAGTTAATCTCAATACAGAACAAAAACTGTGTCCTGAGTACAGCCTAGTCCTAGGTTCCAAGGGATGCCTCAGAAACCATTTTTTGGTGAAAAAAAATATGCAGTACTTTATTTTATATAAACTATATAAAAAACAAAATACGTAATTGGGGTATATTCCACCATGTACTGAGATGCAGCTACATTAAAATACAGTTTCAAACACAAAATAAATACCTTTGCTCTGTGGTATGATGCTAATGCATTGTGTGGAGCAAAGTTCCCTGAACCATCATGTCATGCATGGTGTCTCTTAACCCAAATGCATTGTGTGAATGCTAAGCTCCAACTGAAATACCTAGCAGCACAATGTCAGATGTGCATTGCCTGAGTTAAACCTGTCCTGCACATCCTACATGACACCATAGACATAAGTATAGCAAACCATACAACACTTCAAAACAATTCAACAAGCAACAGGTGTGATGGTGCAAAGGAAAGTGGGATAAGGGATGGGAAAAGTGTTCATAGACCTGAAGCTTTATTGAAAGGACAAAGGCACAAAACAGATAGGTATCTACTGTTACCAAAAGGTACCTATACCTTAACACTTTCTTACTTTAGGACAGCTTTTCTCAACCTCCCTACTATGGAGGAACCTTTAAAAATAATTTTCCAGTCCAAGAAAACCCTACTAAAATTACTATATCTACAAATCACAGTATATTAGCATGGTCTGTACATTGCAGATTTAATATTATTAATTTCTTTTTAGTCCTTAGACATTGAAAGGAGGAAAGCTGCAAAGGCAGAGGAAAAGCTGCAAAGCATGCATGGAGTTCAGGAAGTTGTGGAAAGAGATGACGAGCAGAGAGGCAGCACTCCCAACATGAAAGACATTTTTTTCAAGTAGGCTTATTTTGTACTGGTAATTATAACTATTGTTTGTATTGTTATTAAAGTTCTGATATAATAAAATAAAAGTGTATGCTGTGACCATAGAACTCCTTTATATGGCCTAAACTGTGGAATTGCTATAAAAAGAGGATAAATAACTGATCATAAATACTGCCTGTAATTGCCCTCTACAACTGATCTTTTTGCTATTGCTGATTTACCATACTTTTGTCTGCACTGTTTCTTTGTATAGAGGCAGTCATTTTGAGAGGAGCTTGGCTTTGCTTCCTCATATCAGAGATGCCTCCTGTCCTAATGAGTGGTGATGTGATGACTGATAGATGACTGATTATCAAGAAGTGAAAGGAAAAGCACAGATCCACCGAATGGGTGAAGAAGCAGGGGAGCAGTGAGCAGTGCAGTAGTCATATCACCAAATCTCTCTCCAAATCTCATAAGGAGAAACAGTACTAAGATAATATCACACTGCACATGTACAGATATATGCCTACAGAACGGAAGTGCCTACATAAGAAGTTTCATTGCTAGTTTTCAAGTGGGAATTCAAGACAAAAGACAGATTTTACAGGTCCACTAAGGGCTCCGTTTATGGGTTAGGGTTAGGAATTGCATTTAACCACTTGCCTACCAGGCACTTATACCCCTTTATTTACCAGGCCAATTTTCAGCTTTCAGCGCTGCCGCACTTTGATTGACAATTGCGCGGTCATGCAACATTGTACCCATATGAAATTTTGATCATTTTTTTCTCACAAATAGAGATTTCTTTTGGTGGTATTTAATCGCCACTGGGCGCTTTACTTTTGCGCTATAAATAAAAAAAGTGCAAAAAATTTGAAAAAAAAAAAAGTTTCTTTGTTTCTATTATAAAATTTTTCAAACAGGTATTTTTTCTCCTTCACTGATGTGAGTTTATGAGGCAGCACTGATGGGCACTGATAGGCGGCACTGATGGGCACTTATAGGCAGCACTAAAGGGCACTGATAGGCAGTACTAATGAGGTGGCACGGATAGGCGGCACTGATAGACAGCATTAATGAGGTGTCACAGATAGGCGGCACTAATATGCAGCACTGATAGGCGGCACTGATAGGTGACACTGATGATGGGTACTGATAGACGGCACTGACTGGCATCACTACTGGGCACTGACTGGCGGCACTGACTGGCACAACCCCTGGGCACTGACTGGTGGCACTGACTGGCAGCACTGCTGGGCTGCACTGGTGGGTGCACTGGTGGGCAGCACTGGTGGGTGGGCACATGTGGGTGGCACTGGTGGGCACAGGTGGGTGGCACAGGTGGGTGGCACTGCTGGCACAGGTAGGTGGCACTTCTGGGCACAGGTGTGTGACACTGCAGAGTGGCACAGGTGGGTGCACTGCTGGGCACAGGTGGGTGCACTGTGGGCACAGGTGGGTGATCTGCTGGGCACAGGTGGGCGGAGCTAGTGGGCGCACTGCTGGGCACAGGTGGGCGGAACTTTCGGGTGGCACTGCTGGGCACCGATCATCAGGGCACTGATCATCAGTGCCCTGATGATCGGTGCCGATCCCCGCTCTGACAACTGCCGGTTCTCGGCAGTACTTTCCTCACGATCTGACAGCGTGAGGAAAGTGCAGCCGAGAACCGGCACTTGCATTTCCCTGTGATCAGCGTGTCATTGGACACCGCTGATCACGTGGTAAAAGGCCGCTGTGATTGGCCTTTTACCACATCACGTGATCAGCTGTGTCCGTAGGACACAGCGACCACGGAGATCGCCGGGTGCGCGCCCCCTGGGGCGCGCAGGAGAGCGCGTTCTGGGAGGACGTCATATGACGTCCACTCAGAACTGGCCGGCCGCAGTGCATCCATCATTCGGCTATCTGCGGTCGGCAACTAGTTTAATTAAGAGTGTGTAAGTAATTATTACTTTTTCAGTAGTGATGAATTAAATTTACAGTGGATAGGTGTATAATACATTTGATTAAAACAATCTGTGCCTAAAATTTATGCACTGAGACTATGTCATGAGGAAACCTAACACGCCAGATTTTCAGAAACCAGCTTTCTGCTAAAAGAGTTTAAAGTCTAAGTTCACTTTTTTTTTTTTTTTTTTCTACATTCCAGCTCCTCTATGTACCAATATACCATTAATGTACCTCGGTTGCAGAGAAATAAAAGCTTTCTTTGATTTTGAGAACAAGGCCTTTCCTTAGCCCTTGCTTTATTTCTTAGAAAGCTTCATCACTTGCTGGTATGTAGTGTTAAGACAGAAAAAACAGTAAGGCCGGCCATACATGGGTCCATTTCTGAACGATTTTTCGTTCGAAAATCGGACCTAAGAATACTCGGCCAATTTTTCGCTCAGTTAGTAGGGCAATGGCACCAGTCGATTTTCATGGTTCCTCCTCATTTCGTTTATTGGGCATGTTGGAAAATTCATGAAAAACGACTGATTTTCTAAATCATTGGTGGCACCATCGGATTACAGAACAAACTATGTTTTCGATTTTCAAATGAAAAATCATTCGGAAATCGACCCATGTATGGCCTGCTTTAGACAATGGAAGGATTTCATCAGCTGACCTCATTAGCAAACAGCTGTGGTTCCCTTCCTCCCTTCCAGCAGATCACTTCCACAGATGAACAGTTTTCCAATGCAGTGCAATTATTCAGTGATCACTGTTCTCACTTATTACACACCCATAACAAACGCATGCAGGAATGTGAGTTTTCGCTACGTGGAGATGTGAATGGAGCCTGACAACTGAGTGTCTCCATGCACTCCCTCCAATGTACTTGTATAAACATGGCCATACACTATGCAATATGATTCTACAATTGACCTTAGATGTACCAGAACTACGGAACAGGAGGACACACCTGAACAATCTATTCAATTTGTATCACATCAGACAGACCTTTGTACTACATACTGCAGCTGATGAGAGATCTAAAGAATACTGTACAATCACATTGTATAGGAAGGTAGTATTGTAATGAGAGAGGTTTGGTCCAGAGCGGTGAACACGTCCTATCACACCCTCTTCTGATCTGCATCAAGGAAGTGAAGGCTTCTGGGAGATGGCCTACAGGAAACAAATTCTGAAAGGTGATCTACAGGAAGTGATGGAATCTGAAAATCTTTTCAAAAATTCAAAAAACTGACAAGATTTTAAAACATGATAAGTAAATGAGAGAAAAGCACATCAGGGTCAGATATGGCATTGGGAAAATGATTCTATTTATTATGAAAATTGAAATTCTGCCCAAAAAGGTGAACTTATCCTTTACCTCCCTGGCGGTATTCCCGAGTGTAGCTCGGGGTAAAGTTTCAGTACCATGGTGTCCGTTTATGACACAGAGAATAGCTGCGATTCAACGGATCTCAGCTATTCTCTGGTCATTCACAGTTTATGACACTCAGGAGATCATGTCAGCCCTTCACTGGAGATCTGTGTTCTCCCTCCAGATTCTCCAGCCCAGAGCTGGAGAATCGGAGGGACCGCAAACTAAGCAGAGATAATTTACCTCTGCTTAGTAAACTGATCTTTTACTGTAATCTCCCGCGAGATTATAGTAAAATCAGCCGTTTTCCCAGAGTTTGTAGACCGTTCTCCAGCGTTCGGAGACCGTTTCAGTACTTCGTTCGGAGAACTGCTTCATAAACTGCATTCACAGGAGAACTGTGTTCTCCGAGAATGCCGGAGAACTGCGATCTATTACCGCTGGTTCATAAACGGACACCCAAAAGCGGTATCCCTTCTACACTCGGGCTTACCATGCGGCGTTGTTTAGGGATTCCCTGCAGCGCTTAACTTGTCCTTTGCTCCGGCGATGTCCCTCCTGCGGCGTCCCCGGCCATCTCCTCCTCCGGCCGATGCCGGCATCCGGCTTCCGTGTTCCTGTCCCTGTGAGCGCCGGAACCGGTGGCAAATTTACAGAAAAATTACAGTTTTTAAAATTTTTAAACGAATATTACATAGCAAAACATTGCTGTTTCAAAGCATTTCACATACATTTTGTCCCTACTGCTTTGTCCTGTGCCCTGCCTGCATTTTGACTGTTCTTTCTGCCTGGAAACTGGGAAAAGTCTATGGCATCCAAAAAGCATCCTTTTAGGTCAAAAGCGGTTTTAGACCGGCTACAGAACAGTGATAGTAAATAAATCAGAACCACTTTCAGAATTAAGTGATAATGATTTGTGGGGAAATTCGTCATCAGACACTGGAAATGATTTTGCGACTTTGCTCAGCAATGTGCGAACTCGGCGCTATATTTCAAATTTCAGTGTTTTTGGTTTGATTATATTATTGAATTACATGTATTATTATTATATTATTATTTTTTATGATTATTTATTAAATTATAATTTATGCTTTCGTGTTTCAAATTTTATCATACTTGGAATGTTTACTAGACTCTTGTTCGAACAGATTTTAGTGAGTTATTCCTAAGAATTACAGGCCAACAATAAAAAAACTACATATTTCCATGCAAAATAATGGTACCGCTTTCAGCACCAAGAATCGGAAATAATCATACCACCAGGGAGGTTAAACTATATTTTTTTTATTATGCAGAGTTAATATTTAGATTTTTTTAACAAGAAAGAAAATGATATAAATGTATCTATGCATGTCACCATAGTACGTCCCATGGCATAAATAGAAAATATTTTGTCAAAAAACATACATACATACTGTACATGCATACAGCAGAGAGAACTGATGCTTAAGGTGTGAAGGTGGCTTTCTTTCAAGCTCCACTTGGGATGTAAATGTGGCCTTGAATCCTTGTAACACAAATGTTTCATGTTTAAGAAACTGAAAGTTCTTTTTTTTTTTTTTCTTTTTTCACTTGCAGTTTTATGAACTGTGAAGTTTGCCTTCCTTATATATAACTCATGTTAAAGTACAGCATTCATCAGAATGAAGAAATGTTTGTCTTTCTATCCTGGCACTTATGTAAAGGTTTAAGGTTGACAGTTTCTGAAATGTTTCCAGAATTAATGGCTTAAAGATTTCACTACTGAACTACAGCAGAGCCTGGAACTCAAAGTGACACCGTAGTTACGATTAAGCAGAAAAATGTTGGCAGATGTCAAATACAAAACTCATAGGTCGCTGTATGTTTAGTTATCTTCTACTGTGCCATAAGAGCCTAAAAACATGATGTGCTTAGTTAAAATGTGTGTCAGGGCAAAAAAAAAAAAAAATGCAGCACATCTTTGCAAAGCATGCACATTTCCCCATATTTCTTTTTCAATTTAAAATCCCTGAAAGTACAAACAAATACCAGTGATGTGCCAGAAATGCACAGTCTACACAAAATACTGTGTTGTCAGTTGTTTTTGGAGCTACGCAGTGTCATCCCTGCCCAGTATCTTTTGATAAACCATTTAGACTTCCTATCTGCACAATATAAAGGCTAATAATTCTGTAGTACCAAGGTAAGAATTGTCTTTGGTATAATGCAGTAAGTTATAATGCAGTAAGTGTGCACTATGAAGACAAATCCGCATAGGAGAACTGTTACCATATCCAGTGAAACCACACAAACATACCCTATGCACTAACTTCCAAATCTCCAAATTCTAAAGTAGGTCTGGAATAATCCCATTTGCTAGATTGCCATAAAGACTTGGATATCCTGCCATCAAGCTCCCCCAATCTGACTGCTGAACTTTGCACACGTTACATGATGCAGAGTACAGAGAATGGCCAGCTCCTACTAGCAGTGTGCACAGGGCGGTTGGAAGCTTTCAGTGATTACTTCTATTACTGGCCACTGCTGGATAAACACTATACCATCAAAGATAAGTGACGTCAACCATATATATATATATATTTTGGTCAATAATTTCATCCAAGAGCCACCAACCATTTACTCTGTACTCCTTACTCATTCACATGTGGGGGCTGGTTTCTGGATGGCCCCTTATTGTTTCTGATTTCTAATAAGCCCCTTGCCTGCAGACTCCCCCCACCTCTAAGCCAGGGTTCTTCGAATCAGGCAGTAACCAGACCCCAATGCCATTTAACAATCCCTTGCCTATTAGACTAGAAAATGGCCATTACTGCTTTTTTTTTAACTTTCAGCAATTATTGACTTCAATAAGATTTGGATATGACACCCAAACTTTAGAAATGTTCTTTGAAAATGCACATCACTAGTTAGTGTTGGGGTAGGACTGTATATATGGCTGATGTAATGTGAAGGTGGAGAGAACTACATACACTGCTAAAAAAAATTAAAGGAACACTTTGAAAACACATCAGATCTCAATAGGGAAAATTATTATGCTGGATCTATACCAATATAGACTGGGTAATGTGTTAGAAATGTAAGGATGCCCCATCGTTTGATGGAAATGAAAATTATCAACCTACAGAGGACTGAATTCAAAGACACCCCAAAAATAAAAGTGAAAAAATGATGAGCAGACTAATCAGTT